CCCCCCCCCCCCCCCCCCCCCCCCCCCCCCCCCCCCCCCCCCCCCCCACCCACCCGCAACCCCCCCCCCCCCCCCCCCCCACACACGTGCACACCCACAACCCCCACACCCACACAAGTGCACACACCCCCCCACACACGCGTGCACATACACACCCACACACATACAAGTGCGCGTGCACACACACAGGGCCCCTGTTAGAGGCAATGTACCATGTAGCCAATGTCTGTCACACCCTCTGTTATTGTGTCACCTGCTGTTGCGCCATAGCACTGCGCACGAATACAACCATGAGCATGCACACATGCACACGCATATACGCAGTCACTCACCCATATTCATGCCTGCATACACACACATGCATGCTCATATACACATTCACTAACCCATACTCACGCCTGCATAAACCTGCATGTACAGTAGATGCACATGTAGATGCACATCTCCATACACACTTGACACTTGTTATTTTTTTATATACAGTGGTACCTCAGTTCTCGAACTCATTAGAATTCTAATTTCTTAAAAGTCGAACCAACCAGTTTGAAAAAAAATTACCCAGAACTCGATCTGAATTCCAGAAGTTCAACCGTGAACGCCGACCTAAGGTAACTTGTACGCACGGGGAAATGAGTCACGCGGCACGTCTCTCAGCGGAAACAAAGGGTAACGCTTCAGTCTCAGCCTCGCATTCGCTGTGATAGCATCGTTTGTTGGTGATGGTGCTTTTTTATTGAAAATATCAGGTAATACACTGTACTTTATATCATTTTGGTGGCCATTGCTTATCAAAAAGTTACGCAATAGTTGTACAAATGTTACAACCTAAAAGTTTGCGATTTATGAACAAATTAACGAATACAGAGTAATAATAAAGATAAACAATGGACCGCATGGCATAGTCTAGTGTTGACGCAGTGCTGGGGCATGGCTTGGGGTTGCCATGATCTACTGAGCACTCAAGCGATCGGGAAACACGGGCAAAACAACACAATGACGTTACAATTACTTGACTGGGGAAACAAACTGAAACGCAGACTAAATACAGAGGACTAATGACAACAACCAGAAACAGCTGATCACACGGGGATTTCACACGAGGTTAACGAGGGGGCGTGGCACACGGAAGGAGCGGACGATCGGGGGCAGGACAGGGGTAATGTTGGGATAAGATATTTATCATTTTGGAAGCCATTAAGAAATTGCTCTTCTTGTTTTACCCTGTTCATTTTGTGTTTAAATGCTAAAAAAACATATTTAGGTGTAATTTTTTGGGGTCGGGAAGCAATTAATTGGTTTTCCATTATTTCATATGGGGAAAATTCGATCAGAACTCAAACTTTTTAGGATTCGAACCCGAGTTCTGAACGGATTAAGTTCGAGTTCTGAGGTACCACTGTATGTGAGATTGTTCTATGCATGCAGATGTCGGTGTACGTTTACATGCATGTAATGTTTGTGGGCGTCTGTACCGATCAGTGTGTTTATGTGTTTGCATGTGTGCATGCTGTATATAAATACACACACATGAACATAGATATGAAGACACACCTACATGCAGATATACACACAACCAGGAGCCCATATGACAGCACCAACAAAGAGGAGGAACCGTTTTCAGGAAATGGTGCTGGTACGAGTACCCAGAGGAGACAAAAAGGGAGAGATGCCGGTGACTGGCAGCAGGGGAAAAGTAGCAATTATCATCATAATGAATCGAGTGACCTCTTTAATGATTAATCAGATCAGCAGCCCCGACGTTACTAATGTGGCCTCATTCACTGCTTGGCGCTCACACAAAGCGGCAGCTGTTTTGGAGCATGTGCCGATTACGAGCCGGAGCCGGAGACGGTTCGGTGCCCGTCCAGCCCTCTACCTGCGGACGTTAACGCTCCACGCTGGCTAGCGCTACTGTAACTCACCTGCAGGGCTGCTCACGAGATGGGAACTGTGACATGGACTGGAGTCACACGCGCACACACAAAGGTCAGAAGGCTGGCCAGGCACAAAGGTCATGTTTATACACACACACACACACACACACACACACACACACAAACAAACAGGAGGATTATACTCAAATATTACCAATACCAAACACACTGTTTAACATTTCAAAATTTCATCCATATCACCTATGTGACCGCACATCCGCACCTCACGCTGGGTCAGCCAAATTTTAGGGTTAGATTAGGTTATTACTACTGGGCCCAAGGCTTCCACATGGTGCTACAGATGGATACAGGGTAACCAAATGCTTGCATTGCACTTATATGCCCTCGTGGCCTCCCCAGAATGTCCTCACATGCCTCCTCACACGCCCACACACCAAGTGTTCAGTACCTCTGTCCCCGTGGTGCTTTACCTGGTCAAAAAAAATGCATGTGTCTGCTGACAACGGACGCGGAAGGCAAGGCAGCCACAGCCGACGGAGGATAGATGACCACGACGTTTGGCATGTTCAGCGGCGGTGGGTGAGAATTAAAAGTGGAGAGCCAGTGAGATGGGAGCACCAACCTCAGCGATGAACACCACGATGACACAGTCCTCCCTCTCCGCAGGGCTCAGCTCGGACATCAGAGAGCTGAGCGTGTCGGTCAAATAGGAGTGAACCTCCCTCTTCACGCTGGGGATTCCCATTACTATCGACACTACGAACAGAAATGCGAAGAAGCATCGATTTTATATACTTTATTTTATAAACATGATGCAAAAGTGGGATAAGCTACAGAATAAAACCCTTCAGGTTTCAGCCTTGGTTCTTGATTTATTTAGCAATTATTCTCATAGGATGCTACCTCATTGATGTTTCCGGTAACAGTGCAGGGTTAATAAAAATGTATTTTTGGCCAGGATTTTAGGCACCCCTGCTAGAGAGCAACTATCATCATTAAGACAAACTTGCATTCGCCTGTCATGAATTTTACACTTTAAGATAGTGTTCCTATTTGGGATGGGCAGCCATGAGCTGAACCACTGCTGATAGAGAGTAATGTTCAGTAAGGGCCTGTAGCTTTGCAGGGAGGCCGATGCTCATCATTATGGCCACGGCTTACTCTGCAGACACTGTGGGAGCAGAGCGAATGAAGTGGCCCTGGTGTGTGGGGGACATTTCTGAAGGAGTGGTATGGAGACATGAACGAGGAAGGGGGTGGGGGTGAGGGTGGCGAGCAAGGATGTGGCGTGGATAGGGAGATAGCTGTGTGGCTTATGGGGGTGAGAATGCGAGAGAAGGAAATGAACAAGGGAGATGAGATATGGATGTTGTGAAGGGGGTGAGGACTGACATGAGGAGAGGTCTAGCTGCTACCATGCTTGGAGCTGGGTGGTGCTGATAAGCCACTGGGCGATCGGCTGTGGTCAGTGGGAGGGGCTAGGAGGAGGCGCTCACCCCCGGTTCGGCCCTGGCCCACGTGCACAGCCGGCTGCAGGCTGCTCTCCTTGGCCAGCAGGTGGGGCAGGTGGTGGAAGATGCTGGGCAGCTGCAGCACATTCTTACTGCTGGACACGTTCCATAGCTTCAGCTTGGTTTCATCTGGAGCCAGGGAGGTCAGAAGACATCCGAAAGAAGAACAACCAGAAGTACAGGGCAGCAGGTACTGCAGGAGTTACAGATGTGCTCATGCTTGCAGGATTAAATTCTCAAAGGAGCCCTGGAGCAAGCTAGTTAACCTAAATTGTTCCAGTAAAATGTATGATTGTCTAAAACAGTGCATGGAGGGTCTTTTGCATGCCTTTGGCTCTTCTTGTACTGGGATAAACACACAACCAGTAGAACTGACATCCATGTCTGTGAAAAATGGTATCGTAGACGATATGTGTAGGCTGAGTAAATCCAGCTTGGGAAATATACCTACCAAATGCCTACTGACAACTTTACTGTGAAGCGCATAAACACGTATGTAACCCCACAGCCGAACAAGGTAGAAACTCAACGTCAAACCCTCATCTAAAACGAACATGAACATAAACTCTTAAATGCAGTTAAAAATACCAGTCAGCTCTGCCTTCCATTGAGTCTCGGTCGCTTAGCCGGCTGATGGGTTGTTTTTGGGACCTACCCAGCACGCTGCTCCAGAAGCGTCTGAGATGTTATCACATCACAGCAGCTTGTTTATTATGGTCCTCAGGTATGGGTAGGTTTCCCTAGCAGCCGTACCTGACAAACTGCTCCAGGTGCGGTTGATGTCTCGCAGTGCCTGCTTCTCCGCTATGGCCCTCTTGATCTCGTCCAGGACCAGGTTGAGCTCTTTGGAGCGTTTCAGGTTCTCCTGCTCGGCCGAGTGAAGCCGCTCCCTCAGGGCCAGAAACTCTCTCTGATAAATGTCCACCACATCACCTGATGGAGAAAGAATATGGAATGGGGTCACAACCAAGTGTATTATTCACCGCAAGATGCTTTTTTTTAATCTATTGCTAGATTACGATTACAGCTTGACATCTTATGCTTTTGTGCATGCAAACTGCTGATTATCTGCTTCAGTAAGTTCAAGTTAAAGTGTGCTGAAAATATCACAACAGCAGAACGCCTCCTACTCCAGTTCCCCGAGACTCCGTGCCTGCAGTTAAATTCCTTAATCACTCCACCACCTGCTAACTCACTCTAGAACAACACTATGGGAGAATAATGGTGCTGTCCTCAACGCTGATGGCAGCACCGAGTGACCATGTGACCTTGTACCACCCAAGTTTAAATTTCCACTAGCGATGCGTGGGAATCTGGCATGGTTGCCCTGACAACGATACTACGGGCGGCCAGACAACTAGGCTGCTGGTATCTCCAGACAATGGCAGAAGGTATATCTACACTGAGAGCGGCTGGATTTCCAGAAGAAAAAAATAAACAACAGCAGCAGGTATCTCATCGCACATCCCCTTTTATCTCTCTACTCCATGGGCAGAAGTCTTGGAATCTGTACCCATGAGATAATCTGATAAAGCTTCCTGGGATCAAGAGCCTCCTTTCTGTAAAATGACGGGCTGGGATGCGACAGGCCACTAGAGCAGAAAGGACTCGGGCCAGAGGCATTGCTGTAATTTTACTCTCCACATGAATCCCTAAAGAGCAATTTCTTTCTGACTAATCATGGGCATGTCCTACCGTCAGACTGAGGGACCCCATGACCAGAGGAATGATAAACAGCATTTTTCTTCTGGCAGGGGTGCTTTAACATGCACACTGATTCGCTCATCTTTACAGCACGAGCCTCAGTCTTTTCAGCATCGAGACAGTCAGTAAAAGTGAGAAGCGGCCAAGGAGACGGCGAGCAGAATGAAATGAAGCGGGGAGAATGTTGCTGTCTTTCGGAGCGCGTTCCTGTCCAGCAGTATTTCACAGCAGGGTCAGAGTGAAAAGTGCCAGAGCATTGTGTGTGTAATGTTCAGGTTGCCAGACCCTGCCACATTTCCCAATGACACTGAGCGTGTGCATACTGCTGTCAATGCAAATACACACACACACGCAAGAGGACATTTACATTTCATTAGCAGATGCTTTCATCCAGACTGACACATTTTTGGTGAAACAAGGTTAAATAGTCCTCGGAAAAACTGGAGATAAGGGGCCTCGCGCAGGGGCCCAGCGGTGATATCACGGTGCCGACCCTGAGACTCGAACCGATGACCTTCTGATCATGAGCACTGCCTCATAACCCGCTGAGCCACACACAGCCCCCCAAGAGCAATCAGCTAAGAGCTTATTAATTGATACATCATGACACTCTTTGGTATCATGCTTTATTAAATATCTTAGACACAGAAAATTAGTACAAAAAGTGGGAATAAAAGCACAGAAAACACTAGAGGGCAGCCCAGCCTTCCAGGGGTCTTCAGGGTTGATTCCTCAACGGCCGACAGAATGAGGAAATCAATGCTCCGCTGTGGGTTTTATACTTTGTCTCCTACTGTTGGGGAGATAAAAGTGAACAGTCTGGCGAAGCTGTACAGAAAAGACAAAAAGCCTAGTAGGTGTGGGACCGCCTGTGGTGACCAGCTGTGGGACAGAAATCAAATCAGAGTCACAGTTTTACGTGGTCTGACCCTTTCCTAAAGCGGGGTATTTACCAAAGTGATTTACCATGCTCACGGCTATGACCGCGAGGCTGCTCCTCTGACAAAACCGTTTGTTGTCTGCTTCACTCTCATGTCATTTAGCACCCCCCCGTAGCTCCAACAACAACACGAGTGTTCAAAACCAAGATGCCCACAGGAATGGGGACGATGCTGTAAGGTCACACCCACATGTTCCTGGTCATCAACCCAACCTGACTGATCGATTCACTTTGAATACAAGGAACAGAGGACAAGGGCACCATTCCAAAAACTGCCTCAGTAAGACTAACAAAACCAGCAGCTATCTCTGTCTGTGGAACTAAGAGCTCCCAAGAATTATTCTCTCATGCACTGCAGCCACATAAGAGAAACACCCATCTAAACAACATTACAGAATCCGTTATGGTATCTCCTACTGTATACAACATTCTACAGAATCTACAGTAGCCTGACCAAAGGAGAAATAAACTTCTCACCTCTGGTCCGACCAAATGGTTCTGTGCCCAGATCTAGCATCTTGCTAAAACTGAGTCTAACTAAAGTCTAACTGAAAAGAAACACAGCTCTCAGTACACATGACTGAGGAGAAACAGATGTAGCACTGAAAGTTGGAGAGAAAACAGATGTCTGACTATAGGTGTGACTGAAAACAGCCACACATCTCAGGCCCTGTTAGCAAAGGCCACGCTACTAAGATTCTAATCTGACAGAAAATGCTGTCGCACATGAGGCCGACATGTGGAGTTCCAAAGCAATGATGTCACCCTTCCGGCCTGCTCCCTCTCTCAGGCCAGGCTGAAGCCCTCACCCAGCAAATCTGGATTTCGGGACAATTCGTCTTTACCGACTTCTTCTGCCTCGCACAACCCCTTTGCGGTGTCACGGCTGGAAGATGGAGCCGGGAGAACAAGATGCAGGGCTGTAATCTTCAACTGGAGCAGATTAGCAGCTGTGAAAAATCATTCCTGTTCCTCTCCTCCTCCTCCTCCTCCTCCAGTCCGGCACTGCCCTTCCTCTACAACCGGCTTAGGTTACCCACTATCATTCTGCCTTATGCAGTACTAAAGGAACAAATTGAATGAATACACTCCTGTATTTCTAAAACGGTGCTGTGCAAAAGTCTTACGCAGTCAAAGAAAATGATATTTAAATGATCTTCATTTTAGTGTAAAACTATGATGTTCTGTCTGTAAAAGTGTGTTAGCTCAGCCATTTAAAAACCTCCCCTAAAATCACCCAGTATTTGCAGCAAACATCCAATACATCAACATATTTTTTGACTTCAGCATAGCATGTTTGGCTAATCGACACCTCAGTGACTTTTTAAATGAATTTAATTAATGAATTAAGTGAACTGATGGTGAAATTTAACATATACATGGAATGGCAGAGGTGCCCCTGAGGAGAGGTTTGGGAACTGATGCAGTCCAGCCATCCAACAAGATATCAGTGACTTTTGTAACTAAGTAAGTAAATTTTATTTATAAAGCACATTTAAAACTGACCAACGTGCTTTACAATAATAATGATAGTAAAACAAATTGAAAAATAAAATAAAATATAAAAATAAATAAAAAGAGAAATAGTTCAATTACTTTTGGGAGGACAGAAGAAATTCTTGTTTTTATTGTGTGACTCTTAATTTGCATATGCTCTAATGTTAAATTCAGTTTATTTTTCGTTCAGCAAATATACAATTATTACCCAGATAAATAGCTTTAAACATTTCTTTTGACTGCCTAACATTTTTGCACAGTACTGTATGTAATCGATGAAATGAAAAGTGAAACCTCAGATGATGGTGGTTCTCCTGAATTAAAGATGCTTGTGTTTTTGTTTGTTTTTTAAGACACTGGAGACCTGCTGTTCACATTTAAGGCGGCGGGGGCTACGCACTAGCCTAGCGCCTTGCTATCACCCAAGCACACCTGTGCTCACTACTGCCCTCCTATACAAAATGCATGAAACCGCTATAGGCTAATAATGTCTGGCGAGGAGGGATACGGTCATGATCTCTGTGTAGTCATCACCCGGGGACTCAACGGCAGGCAAATCTTGCCCTGGACCACCGCGCTTTGGCCATTAGCTCCCAGCAATCAGCTGACATGGACCAGACAGCACAGTGCGGAGGGGACAGTGGGGAGGTAGTGATAAGGAATGGACTCAGACATGGACACGAACACAAGCTACCAATGAAAGAAGCTCAATGCACACAGTGCAGTCTCCCTTTAGTAAAGGGCTTATCTTCGGGGACCATAGTGATGGGTCTTACAAGAGTACGGCTGCTCTTCTGTCACCTTTTATCTCCGTTGTAGGGTAAAGCATAACTGGGTTAGGGACTAAAATATGGCAGGTACAATGCTACATGTTACACATAACTGTCAGCTTGCGATTGTGTTAAGAATCCCGTTATCTTGTAAACAATTAGCTTAATAAATAACTAGAATGCTGGCTATTGTAGCCCATTAACCCATGTTGACCAATACAGCCAATTAGACTGCGATGCTTAATCAGACTCAGATATATTCCCTGTTAGATTGTGCCTGCTTTAGATGCTTATTAGACGGTGCAGAATACAGTAATCAGACTGTACTGACTATAGCGGCCTATCAGCCTGTGAATTCAGGGGCCTAGAAGTCTGGTGGCCGAACGCAGAGGCATGATTCATCCGTAATGCAATATGCCCAGAAGAGTGCTGCAGATTCTTGCACAGTGACAGCCTTAACGGGAAGTGGAGTGCGTTAATGCAATTCACATCGATTCAGGAAGCAGCTTCCTCTGTGTGATTGGAAGACAAAAGTGGTATTGGAGAGATACCTCTATGCCCGGATAATATGGGAAACCACGCAGTTCCTGAGAAGCCTTGCATGCTCACCTGTGTTCGGAGGCGAAAGGGAAGCAAAATCTGCTTTTCGATTTACGCATTAAATGTTCGTGGAAAATTTCAGGAAGAGCCGAGATGGATTAGGAGGCTTTTTTGTCCCGAACTCCCTCTCATCCATTTGATAGGTTATTTTGTGGATGTCTGGGTGTGGCTTGGAGCATTGGTTAGCCCTCTTCCTCGCACAGATGGGGCTCTCTTACTCGAGAGTATGCGGCAGATGGAGGAGGCGGTGGTGGAGTTTGGCATTGTGCCTGAGAGCAATCAATCAAACAACTGAGTAAAGAGCATCTTTAGAATAAGCAGCATATTTAGATACGTTTACCAGGAAGGGGAACAAAAATCAAAATCTCAAACTAAATGGAAGAAAAGTATAAAATGATTCTATGAGACCAGGACAATGATGGCTGCATGCTCTCTGGTTATGAGGTATAGGATGAGTGTCGGTCAGACAAACAAGACGAAGAGGCTGGACCTATTGCAGTCAATGTTGCCTCTGATATGCAGGTGAAAACAGTAGACGGTCACAGGGATTTACCCACTGAGTGGGCTGGGAGGGGGCACATAAAATCACCTGCGTCTGAATTGTAAAAATTAAATGTCATATGAGAAGAGGAAATAAACATTCCATAAGCTAACAGTCTATTCCTGTGTCTAGATGACATTTGACTGGCTTTCAGTTGAAGGGATTTGAGGTAACTCATGTATGCCTGACTATAGAATTACATCCTAGTATAGAGTTCCATTGAATTTTAAATGAGAACCAAAAATGTGGTTCAAATCCTACAGTGGAAATGCTTTTCAGTCTGCTGCGGCAGCCAATGGGTGCTAAGTAGCAGCCTTTTGTCAATCTAGTCTGGATTTCATGCATCTACTATCCTGACCTCTAGCCAACTGAATATGCTACAGTGTAGCACCTGACCTGAGTATCAGCATTCATCCTAGGCTATGTGGATGTTCCCGTAAGGCCTTTTTATTTGGCTATAGCATCATTAACACATTAGCTTAACCAATTACTACATTTTGAACTAGGTTTGAACCAAACCCAGCAATGAAAAACTGTGTGGAGCAGGTGCAGACCCTTCTGACTGCACGTTTAGGCGCTGAGATCACTGTGCTATGGTTTCCAGTGTAGGAGCACAGCTGGAGTTGGTTTCGGGTTGGAGCCCAGTTAAAGCCCCTCCACAGGGCCCAGATCCTGACCCGTTCACTCGGACGTGGAAATGTCCTGGAAGCGGCCACCAGAAAAGAGGAACAACAGAAAGCAGTTTTTCCAGGCTGCTGGGTAAAATCAGTGCCTGTGAATGGTCAAGGCAAATGTGAAGTAGAATGAGTTTCCAAATTTACACATTAAATGTTTATGAAAGAGAATAAGCTATGCGTTTTATAAATACTGTACATGGCTTAACGCTAAACTACTGATATGATGCAATAGAAGCAAAAAAGTAGTTTCCTAAAAGCAATACCACAAACTTCTTCTGTACAACAAAGTTTTCCAAAAAAAACAGAACGCAAATGTCACAGAACACATAATCTAAACTGTCCAAATTAGCAACAGCATAGCAGAGAGTTTGACATTGGGGACTGGGGGCACAACTTAATAATGTAAATACAAAGGTCTGTTTATTGGGGGGGATGAAGGAAGCCAAATTAAATATCGAGGTGGAAACGCCACCCACCCCCCCAACTTCCTGCACCCCTGCACATAAGGACACAACTGGTATACTTAGCCAACTCTTACAGTCAACGCTACATTCAGGTTGTATAGCTGCTTATTTAGTGTAAATACTACAGCAGGTCGCCCCCCAGGATTCAAACTAGCACCCTGTTAATAAATGAAACCGACTGGCTCTCAGGGGTACTGCACAGAAAAAAGCTGTTTTTGTCTCGAAAGCTTCAAAAAGTAGCAAAGCTATTTTTAATAAAGCTATTATTTACTTCAGATTAAGCCTAAAAAAATACATCACAAATATGAACTTTGTGTTCTCACCTTGGTAGAACACAGATCTACCAAGCGTTTTTTTTTTTAACTCATGAAAATAAACAGAAAGGCTACAATTCTGGCAGACGGAATGATATGGATCCAACTACATTTACAATCTTCCTTTGTACATTTAGCCTGTCTACCACTGAATCACATAACGATGCACCACAGGAAAATATATACTTGTAAATCCACCAGATTCAACTGCTTCCCAGACCCGAAGACACGGCCCAGTACCCTGGGAAGCATCGCTAAGGCGTTCTCCAGCAGCCAGAAGAAGGAGGCACTGTGGTGAGACATAATTCTGAACAGGTCTTTGGAAAAACATCAGCCAGCCATTTCACCGCAAACAAGCTCCCACCTACAACACCTACCGTTTAACAGAAACTACTGGAAAGTAAAACACGGGCAAGCGGGAAGAGGAACATCTAAAATCTCCAGCTTCAACAGACAGCTCTTTCTCCTCAAAATCCTGGACCGACAGTTTTGTTTAAACAGTGGCATGCTTCACAACCAAAATGGAGCTGCCTTTGGGTGTGCCCCCCCAACCCAAAACACGGTTCTGACACAACTAGCCCAGTCAAGAAAACCACAGATATGCAGCCTGCCTCCAGCAAGATTGCTACAGTTGGCTGGGGGCAACCATAAGCACACTGATTAACTACCTTCATCAGCACAGAGTTGAACACTTCTTCTAGTTCTCCTGCCTGACCCCCAGTGTCTCTCCTGTTTGATGGAAGACTGCCTGTCTCCCCATAGCAGTGAGTCGAGACAAACGGTATAGTCAGTTTTCTCAAATGCAGTTCCCACTATTGTGTGAAAACGCACACATTATATCCATAATTAATGTGCAATTCTAGAAAACATGGTGTTTGTTTATTTTTTGCACTGAGCAGGAAGAGGTCAGCGACAGGCTTATTTTTCCACTTTAGGTGACCCCCACATTTTACTCTTCCTAGCCACCCCCACCCCCACCCCCCAGCCTTTACTATGCCTTTCCTCTGAAAATAGTCTGGTGCTGCTACTGGTCGGTGCAGGCTCTCAGGCCGGCTGAGATACACTAATGCTATTTACATTACACTGTAAACAGTGTAAAACTTTATGCTGGGCCAGAAAATAACACTGTGTGCCAAAAACCGGTTTATGTCTCTGCATCAAGCAAATAAAGTATTTCCCCTTCAGCGAGTGAACAGTACTGTGGTGGACCCTATGGAGGTGCTTCAGAGGCACAGGCAGAGCCCAACACAGGGAACACGTGCAGCAATAAGGAGGCACAGGCAGAGCCCAACACAGGGAACACGTGCAGCAATAAGGAGGCACAGGCAGAGCCCAACACAGGGAACACGTGCAGCAATAAGGAGGCACAGATTCCTATGCTGTGACATGCATGTGAATGTCCACACGCACGTAAATATACACACATACTGTGCAAAAAGTCTTAGGCTGCCAAAGAGAATTATGTTTAAATAATTTTCATGTTGGTGTAAAATTAGGATATTATCTCTGTCAAAATGTGTTAGCTTAGCCATTTCAAAACCTCTCCTAAAGTTACCCCGGCATTTGCAGCAACCGTCCAATATACCAATGATATATGAGACATCAGCAACTTAATGGAGAACAGGCAAAAAAATCATTTAAATTGGGTTGCTGTTCATTTGTACACATTCTAAACTGTACATATATAAATACAGTTATATATTCTGGGTTATATATTATATATATAATCCAAATTAAATTTTTGCTGAGCAAATACACCCATACTACACAAATTAATAGTGTGAAACATTTTCTTTAACTATCTAAGACCCGCACAGCACTACCTGCACATTTCAGGAGACAGACACTAGGACTCTTAACCACACAATACACACCCACCCATCCAAAACACAAATAGACACCCACCCACAACACAAATAGACACCCACCCACCCACAACACAAATAGACACCCACCCACCCACAACACAAAGACCCACCCATAGATCTGCACACTAACACCCATTAGCAGAAACACATATGCAAATAAGCACGGCAAGGGGCACCCAGTTCTGCACAAACTGCACATGTGCCCTTACACTCCCACGCATGCAGGACACGGACAGTGTGTCATGCAAAGCACGATTCATCCGGCCTCTGAAATCGGATCCTGCTATCCCTGATCCTGGCAGAATGCGACTCTGAAGCAGGCCCTCTGGTTTCCAGGGAATGTATGCGCCAGGCAGCCAGTCGAATACCACATTACATCATCCTGCCCATTCCCTCCTATCAGAATTACATTCCAGAAGCATTAATTCATTCTCAGACGTAGAGGCATGTCTCTCCTTTGCCAGGTACTCCTTGATACAGTGGCTCTGTGAGTTATACAATAAACTGCCGTATGCAGGGCTCTGAATCTATCCTTAGTGCTGAAGCTGCAATTTGCATATTTGAAGAAATTCTAGAATAACAGCCAAAGTTCATGGGAAATTACTATTCTGAAGCAACCTTGGTGATCCATCCAGGGTGCACCTTACTTCTTGTCCTGGGATGAGTTCAGGCCACAACTGGAGAAGCATTTACTGAAAGGTGGTAGATAGTTATGTTCCACTGAGAGATATTTGTATATTATGCCACTATGATGTATTCTTCATTGACTGCCACTTACAATATCTTAGAGTGACCTGTCTATTTGCACTCTTAACATAGGTTTGGGTTAAAGGTGAAAGGGCTCTGAAATCAAGACCAAAGCTGCAATACAAATGTTCCTGATCTTGCATCGCAGTTCCAGAAGACAGAGCCGTGGCACCCCCCCCCCCCCCACTGCCACTGCTGCCACTATTGACCTCTCATTATGTTATTCATATTACAAAACTAATTTTTCATTTCACAAGCTGTGCATTTCATAAATATTATACATCATACCTTTTGTTGTCTTACAACTGTGTGTGTCACATGACTTTTTTTGGTCCAATTATAATCGGGTGATCACACCTGCGGTAAAAGCTAGGATAGTTTCATTAGCTCAAGATGGATAATAAGCCTGTGATAGCTTATTATCCCCCCTGGCACATTCAGGTCGGCCGTGAGGGAACGTTTTGGTTATCCAGTTTATTTCTGACTGGTCTTCAGAGAAGTTTTTTATTTTTTTCATTACATAGCTATTTTATGTGAAGTTAATTAAACATGTTTTTTGTGTTCTTCTCTTTAGTGTTCCGCAAGTTTGGCTCTGTAATAGCAAGACCAGTTGAATGTAAAGTGTGCCAAAGTTCAAGGAAGGAACCATGTCTTGCATGCAGGTCATTATTAATTCTTAACTTGGTGCAACGACAAATAGGCAAGTAATGTCCCTGCATGTCTTTGTCATTAATAAGGCTCATTGGTTGTTTCGCTATTTTGCCCTCATACTCAGCATTGTGAAGTGCCCCTAAGAGCTGATTAGGTTTCTAACAAACTCCAGAGCATGATCTGTGGGAACCACTGTATGGATCTGGGATAAAGGGGACCAGCATCCTTCCCTCTACCCTACAGCAAATACTATAAGAAAATACAAGAGGTAAGTACGCGGTGGACTATCAAATCTCCATATTGCACAAAGTGCAGACATGTACTGGTTTGCTTGAGTGATTAACCTGAACTTCTCCTTAGACATCCCAGCCTTAATTCTCTATTTAGAATTCTCCAGTACAGCTGTGCGAGATTCTGCTTCATTAACTCTAGCTCTACCAGCCATAACACCTTCATATTGGTTTCTATCCACTTCCTTAGGCTCTCTAGCCATTTATCAAACATTTTAGCTTTACCTTAGCATGTTTGTCTTTCCATTAAAATAATTGCACATTTTCTGCATTTCCTAGTGATGAACTTGTAGCACTGAGGAAGTATTACGTCCTAACTGAAGGCTATGTCATAACAAATTTCTTTTCAGCATATAAAAATTCTACACTCAGAAATGATGTTGTCATCCATTCTATACTTATTATGTAAGTATATTTATTTACATTTTACTATTCTTATTTTTTGTAAATAAAAATATTAATTTACAACAGCATGTGTTATGTCCCTAATAACCAAAAAACAGCAAATTAAATGAATAATTTAACATAAATTCCCCCCCAAACATTTTAACACCAGGCTGTTTCTGACATTATAAGTGTGAAGCCTAGTAAAATGATCTGGGCAGCGCAATGCGGGAGGGACCCAGTTGCAGAAGGTTCATTCTCAAACATTAATCCCAAACCATAATCCAAAACACAGGTGGCATGTCACAGGGACGGCGACACAGAGAATACACAAGCTGTAATACAAAATCTGTCGTCCAAAACAGACAGGAGACTGAAAAGAACCATACCAACAGGGGGAATAGAGCCAAAACTAAATGATGATACTTTATCAATCCCCATGGGGAAATTCTATTTTCAGCTACCCTATTTTGCTCTCCATGACACACACAGATAGAGCGTGAGCTTGGGGAATCAAAGCAAAGAGCAGTTAGCAACAGTGCCTGCAGAGCTGAGGGTTAAGGGCCCACAGACATGTGACTGTTCTGCTGAGGCCAAGTTTGAACAAGGTCATCAGGAGAATGAACGATCACTATGGTGTAGCCACATAACACCCTGCAAAGAGGTAATTACAAACAAGGATCCTAACATAGCCAACCAGTCATGAGCTCAAAAGCCACATGTGTTCTAATAGTCTGGTGAACTAGAGCGAGGCCTGACAAGCCTGACTGATCAGAGACCCCTTCACAGGTGGCTCTAAAAGACTTAGACTGCCTACCAGCCAGATGCCCATGGAGCCATGGAGCGGAACTGTTTGGAATGGAGTGATAGAAATCCTCGATGATCGAAGGGTGCAGAAGGTCATAGGAAGGAAGCCACAATTTCTCCCCAGTTCACTCGGCATTGTAAGTGACCCCCAATGGTGGCAAGAGCTCAACAGTGAATGAACAAAGAAACCCAGAAGATCATAAAGTGGTTCGAACTGCCTGGAGAGAGTATCTACTTCGGTGTTTCATTGACTGTTACCTTTCGCCCAGACATATTTAAAACTGGCACAGAAAGGGATTCGCCCAGTTTTCCTAAGATTCACCCTCGTCGCTTCAGATACCCCTTCCAGCCAATGTCACGGCTCCTCGAGAGCCAACTTGATGGCCAGCAGTTCCCCGTTCACAGCGTTGTAATTCCTTCTGTTCTACTGGAGAGAGCTGGTAGTAGTAAAGCGCATGGGAAAGTAGCATATAGAGTGTAGCATGCTAATGAGCAGGAACGGCTCCCACAGCAACCTCCGAAGTATCTACCTCCACCACACATAACAGAGTTGAGTCTGGCTGTTCGAGCATAGGTTCAGGACTAGGTGATAAAGCAACTGGAGGCATAGGGAGAGAACAGATTAAAGCTCATGCACTTACGGCTGCCAGAATAAAAAAAAAAGATCTGTGCACTGTGCTTGCAAGTAATTCCTCTGTCATACTTCACACAATAGTGTTCCTGGATCCCAGCCATTAGCGGGATGATCAAACACTTCCTTAGATGGTATATAAACTAGTGGCTCAGAATTCGGCGTAGTTCTATTCAACACTATTGTCCACTGTAGAGCTTTCGCCACCAATAAAAATAGCAAAATGGATCTTGCCTCTAACATGAGCATCTTGAGATGCTGAATGACGTACATAAAACACTGCATTGCATTGCATTACACTGCATTACACTGCATTACGATAAAAACTGTGACGGGCTTGAAGCTGCAGGCGACCATTGCTCCAGAATCCAGTGGGGTGGCCACACTGTGCAAAAGTGTCGGCACCAAGTGACCTGGCAAAGTTTGCAAAATTTGACCTAGCTCACCAAATGCCTCTTCCTGCCTCAGGTTCCACTAGTTCCACAGATAGCAAGGTATAGCATAACGTAATGATACAAGAAGATCCAGTTGCAGATGGTTAATTTTCAAAATCACATACAAAATCCATAATCCAAAACACAGGCAATGTCATAGGGCTGCAGAAAAACTAAATCCAAAACATCGCCTGACATCCATAGTCTAAAATGTAGACAGTAGACTGAAAAGCAGCAAAGGGCAACATGAGAAGAGCAGCAAAACCAAGACCCACAACAAAAGACAAAGAAGAGGGTCATCAGAGAAACAAATACTCAGTATGGTATAGTCACACAATACCTCACAAAGAGGAGGCTGCAGACAAGGCATGAAAACCCAGCCAGAAATGAGCTCAAATGCCAAAGGTGAGCTAACAGTCAAGCGGATTGTGGCCAAACCAGGCTTGACGCAGATATGACAGTCTTCACATAACCGCTTTTATCAACATTCTGAGAAAGCATCTGTTTCATCAGCCGGGGTATTAAATTTAACTTGTTACTTAGTGAATCACTCCTTTTATAAATACATACAAAAGCACTTGTTATGACAAAGAGGATTTCTTAGTCCTGTATTCCTCGTGGGAAAGTCTTTCATAAAAAAAGTATAATAGTTGAAGTTTCCTTAACATCATTAAAAAATCTCTTTTCCTCTCTCCTCCTAAAACATGATACACAGCTAAAGCCAGGGTTATATCTAGAAATTCTGGGCCCCTTGACAAAATGTCACCTTGGGCCCCCCCTACCCAATTTTCCGTATAATTTTAAGTGCTGGCCCCCTGAATCTGCCAGGGTATCCATGCCCCTCCATAGCCCCTGACTATAGCATTTATCAACAAAGAGTTAGAGCATTCATGGCGTGTTATGGTCAAGGCATAAGCACTGAACCATTGGTCTATGCAGCTTCTCATCTTTCACGAGGCTCCAGTAAAGTTCTCTTCCTCATCCCTTAACCTTACAGCAGCTCTTACAGTTTCTGCTGCCTTAGACTCATTTCCAATACCAATGTCTTCTACAACTGGGCTCCCCACACATTTGATGCTCATAGACTGATTTACGTCATACCAAGATTTCACTGATCGGTAAAACGGTCAGGGTGCTGCTGGATAAACAGCAGATATGAACTTCTCCACAAACCCGCTAGTGTTCTGCGGCCCGGTGGCCATAGATCGGTTCCGCAAACTGGGGATTGGGAACCCCTAGTCTAGAGCACCTGGAATCTTTAATTTGACATTTGTGCAAAAAACGGACCCTTTTTTTCTGCCTCATTACTCAGGCAGGATAACATCTCCCAGTAGGGCAGTACAGGCCTCCCACTACTAACAAAGGAAGCGAGCTGATATGACTCCGACATAAAGCATTTATTCCAGCAGGAGGTCATTCAGCAGATAGTCGGAGAAATGTCATAACCAAGACCAAGCCCACTGATCGAGGAAAACAAGCTGTGCTCTCTGCCAACTCACATTAAATACTAACCAATTTCAGCACTAATTTTCATGGCTAAAAGCAATTAAATAAGAGTTATTGGCTAGCACCAGGAGTCATATTTTAAAATCTTTTTTAAGTGTGACACAAACTGATGTGGAAAGACCAGGCAGCTAGTGAATGAATATTTTGTGTGGAATCTCTCTGTCAGACATATAAGTAGATCCCCTGGCTGGCAGAGTGATGTCACCAGAGAAACGCCGACTGCTCCAGGGCTGTCTGACCCTGCTTGCTTAACTGCACGTCACTTTGGGTAAAAGTGTCCTATAAATAAATAAATGCAATGCATATGCATGAAAAATATCAAAAGCAAAGTACGAAAGTGCAATGACTTCATCTCAAACATACAAAAATATTTGGTGACACTTTACATTAACTGCAAATTCACAATGCATTAATTTTGCATTCATAGAACATTCAGTGCACCTTCATAATGCATTCATAATTAGCAGGATGTCAAACAGCTTTAATATGAATTAATAATAAACAATATTGATTTATAATGTTTGTTGTTAATGTACATTAAAGCTGTTAAGGTATGTTAAGATGTTAAGGTATAATTACATGTTTCTTATGAATGTTGTATGAATGCATTGTGAAGGTGCACTGAATGTTCTATGAATGCATTATAAAGGCATTATGAAGGTGCAGTTAAGGTAAAGTGTAAGCAAATATTTTGTAACATGTTTTCATAGCAGACAGATTACATTATAAAGATGGCAGACATTAACATAAAAAAACCTTCAGACCACAGTCTGACTACAGAGCTACACTATATTAAGAGGCATCATACTGAGCTTTACAAAAAAAAAAGAACAAAAAACCAGCACCTCCTGTAGCTCGTAATTACTCATCCAACTAATTTCTGGTATATTTGTATGGACAGACCGGATGGCCTAAAATTTTTAATTAAAGCATAAATACAGAATGCCAGCGGCCTAGCAGTAATCCTTTGACATGGTGCTGATATTGCAGTGAAATGCTGAGAACATTCTTTTGTTTGTGGCTAGGGATTAATTGTCAAAAGCAAATTGAGCCATTTTTAGTTGAGTCAATGAGGAACAGGGTTGGTTTCCCAAAACGGATGGGCAGGGTCATCACATTTTCACTCAGGCTCAATGAATATATTCATCTGTCCTTCTCTCTCTCTCCCTCTCTCTTTCTCTATCCAGAATCTTCTCCACATTCCATTTATGTTATCACATCTTAGACGAAATAAAATTAAGACATTTTTATTTTACTGTCATGTTCATAGAGAGTATTGCCTATTTATAGCATAGAGATTTTCCCTGCATTTTAACGAATCTTTGTCACTCACTGGAAACAGAACAGCTGACAGTCACCCCACTTTCAGTGCACAAACACAACTTTGCAGGGAAAATTTTAGCGGTGAAGGATGCCAGAAGGGCAGAGGTAGTAGGAGGATCACGTTCCTTTTGAAGTGATGGCTGATTGCGGTATTGGTATAAATAGCCGCTTTTGTATCATTATTAGCATGATTATGTTTGTGGTTTTTCACAACGGGCGCTTCTCACCGACACATTTACTGTGACAAATTTCCCAGATTATTAAAGTACAATGAAATTAATTCTGAAGCCAATCAGGGAGAGGAATAGAGGAAGAGTTTGAGGTAATGGGAAATGAGAAGACAGAAAGAGAAGTGGAAAGACGGAATAGAAAGGGAACAACTCATGGCTCAGACACTGCTCCAGGCATTTCATTTATTTTAGCCTGATATATACGAGCAGGCGAATGGGAGCACACCTGATCGGCCACCACTGTCACACCATACAGCCAGCACCTTCAGCACCGTGACACAGTGACGCCCGTCTCTGCCGCCACGGAAACAGTGCGGCGATCCCTCCTTCGCACTGCCAACCCCCGACGGGAGCGGAAGATGGGGAGGACACTTGGCCTTTGGCGCCGCAAGAAGCCTTTGACACTGGATCTGGTCAGCAGTGAGCGAGAGGATTAGGGGCAGCTACTGGCAGCCACTCTGTTAGCAGCCTCCCTCTCAGCTTTTGGCCGCAGATCGGCGTCTGAAGTAATAAGCAATGTGCAACCATGAGACTTGCACCCATCTGTGTTGAGATAATATGTGCCGCTGAAATCATTAGAGGCCGTACCGAGATGATAGCTGCTATTGAAACTATTCGAATTAACTTTATTCATCACGATACCAGTAAGTCACCTTGCACATGGACAATGTGCATTAATTTCTGCAGTATTCCGAGAGTCACAAACAGTAAAGCTGAGGACATATCCGCCATTGTGCACGTGTCCATTTGAGCTGATATGCGATTCTCAGTGTGCATCTGTTCCTGAGTGTATCAGTGCTCACCAGCTACATGGGGATGCCTGTCATTTTGCTTACCTCTTTGCCCTTAAGTGAACTGCAGCAAGTATTATTGTAGTTTTCATTTTTTTAATTGATTTTATTTTTATATTACTTCTAATTTTCATTTGAAATCCAGTTTAGTTTTAGTCCATTTAGTTTATATATATTTTATTTTCAGTAGTTTTTGTAGTTATTTGTCCCTAGGGATTTACTCAGAGTTGTGGAGCTATTTATATCTATGTTCTTCAGAGAATTCTACATGAATACATCAAAATGTGCAACATGTTCCAGGCATTATTCATGGTAATAGTATTTAGAATAACAGTAACAGAAAGTATTTAATGTTTGTTTTTATTTTATTTCAGTTTGTTTTGGAAGCAATATTTAAAGTTTTCATTTAGGTGTGTGTGTGTTTTTTTTTTTTTAAATCAGTTTACAAAAATGTTATTTTTTTGTTTAATAGTTTTAGTTTTCTTTAACGACAGTAACCGTGGCTCCAGTATGTGTTTTATCTTCATCCACAGCTTCATCTTATGAGAGGGCAACAGCACCCAGCAGCTCCTACAGGATTAGCCACGATTAAACAAAGATTACGACATGAATGCACTGCAGATCAGATTACAGCGGACAAACTAATTACTTTCAATTTGATGAGCAATTTCTTGTTGTCTGTATATTATTTTTTAAATATCTTCTTTGCCCAATTAAAGATTACAAAATAAAATGAATAATCATATGAGAATACTTATAGAAATATACAATATCTTCATTTTGAGACTTTAGTTTGAGGAAACACTAAGGAATCATGTTTGGGAGACAGATTTCCAGTCATTACTGTCATGTGTCAGCAGATGAGCAGGGGATCCTGCGCCCAGCCCTTCCCGTTTTCCTGGGGTCACGCTGCCTGCGTACTGATCTCATGCCTTAAAGAGGAAACTGCATTTCCTGTGAGACAGGAAGTCACGCTGATTTCCTCACTGGAAAGCTGCTCGCTCGACATTTTCCCTGTGCCTTGACCCCAAACTGTAATAGCTCTATAGGTTAACCATCCATACAAGAGGTCAGTAATGCAGTGTATTTACTGTAACAGCTAACACACCGTTGGCTCCTTGTTTAAGTAAGAGACGAGGCCAAATCAAACCAGCTAGGGATCAGGACACGAGCCTTTTCAGGGCCAGGTAACTTCCATATACTATTTGGTCACAATATTTTTTACATAGTTTTTATTTTTATATTATTTACAATTTTAATCAAGTTTAGTTTTAGTTCATTTTCAGAGTGGGATATTTTTCTATATTTTAGTTTCATTCTAAGCTTGAGTAATTTTACTTCTAGGGATAGAGCGACAGTTGCAGAACTATTTTATGTGTCTTTAGAGCATCCTAGATACAGTACTATGCATAAGTCTTAGGCAGTCACATGATTAAGGAATGATCTTCATGTTAGTGTAAAACTACAATATTATGCTTAGCAAACTGCACAGGATTTACAGCAACCGTGCAAAACGCCCGTGTATTTTTGGACTCGACCTCTACCCCACCTTGTTTGGCTAATCAATACCTCATTGAATTATTTAACAAATCAAGTCAATTAATTAATAAAACTGATGGAGAAATTTAATGGATACATATAATGATTCGGGTGCCCCAAAGGAGAGGTTTCGGAATTGAAGCAGAGTTTGTTTAGCCATTCAGCAAGATGCGAGTAGCTTTTTGGGGAACAGATGAAATTCTTGTTTTTTTTTTTGTGCTACTGTTAATTTGCTTATGTTACAATGTCAAATTGTGTTTTTCTGAAACACATTAATTACCAAGATGAATAGCCTTAAACATTTTCTTTGACTGTCTTTGACTATAGACTTTTACACAGTACTGTATGTACACCATGCGCATTACGTAGTTTTGTCCTCAAAATTGGCTAAATATGTTCCAGGTATTAATTAAAGGTAAGTTAACTTTAGATGAATAGTATACAATAATAGTAACAGAAAGTACTTGACATTTGGATTAATTGTATTTCATGTAGCTTCTGAAGCAATATTTATAATTTTAATTTACTCGTAGTCTGCCATTTTATTTTCATATCTTATTTTTAGAGCTGATATGATTACTCAAATGAACTCGATTACTCGACTGATTAAAATGTGCCATCTCGATTACTCATCAATATGACGGAAGGAAAACAGATGAAGGATTAAATAAAAGAAAAGCAAAAGCCTCAGTTGTGTGGCCACACTTTAAATGTTATAAAAATGCAGTCGTCAGTCAATATCGCAAAGCAGAAATTAAATATTACAAGAGCAGGATCGCAATGCAACTACATCTTTAAAGAAAAAACTCAGGTTTTACGGACTCACTCACTAATGAGAGGTTAGCAATAGGTAAGCTATGTGCCCTTTAGACCTTTGGAGTAGCCTAGTAGGACAAACGTTAAAATGAAGGCCAGCCTGGTCGCTGAGTCACATCATCTTCCATAATGCAGTACGTGATAATGGTATAATATTAGTTAACTTCTTGTGTGCGGACTTTAATGGGGCTGAATAATACCGGAACAAGTTCACACTGTACTGTTTGAATGTTTGCCATGTTCTCCTTGTTTGTGTGGGCTTACACCATACTCACCTACAGTCCAAAAACATGCAACTTAAGTGACTCGGAGTGCCTGGGTTGTCTGTATGTGCGAGTGAGTGAGTGAGTGTGCACCCTGCGATGAGCACCCCCATTTAAGGCTAGTTACAGCCTTACACCAACTGATATATACACTGTATTAATATTATATTTTATATATGTATACATATTATATATAAATGATTACTCAATCATCAAACTAGTCCGCAGATTACTTGATCATTAATATAACTGATAGTGCCAGCCCTTGTTATTCTATTTCAGTTTACTAAAATGTTTTCTTATAGTCTTTAGATTTCGTTAATGATAATAACCCTGGTGGGACAGCATGGAGTCTGACCTCAATATGTCTACCTCTATATCCAGGGGATAAACATACAATTACACACACAAGCAAAAATTCTGCCTTATGCATTTCATAAAAACAATAAAAATGCCTAGTATGATTAAGTCTGATTTGTGCAAGTTAATCTTATTTTTCACAAGGTCTACAGACACCTGCAAGCGATTTTCCATTCCATTCCTCCTTAAGCGAAATCCCTTGAGCTAATGAGAGGCTCCCATTTACCACGTTTCTATCCCTAACTTCACAGGCCTCTTCTGAAATCACTGATTAGAAAGACAGTGCTTGTTTGAGTCATAAGGCCAGATAGCCATTCTTAAGAGATTTAAAGACGTCCGCTGCAGAGTGTCTGCAGTCCAGCTTCATGCTGGGGGCTTGGGTTCATCCACTTCCATGGCTTCACAGGAAGGAGTTCGGCACTTTAAATAAAAGATCAAACGTAGACTGGACTCTGCATCACTGTGAAGGGCAGGACAAACTGTATTTGTATCACAGAAGCCCCGTCCCCCTTACTGGTGTCAGTAGGTCGTGGGATCAGTGTGGGTTTGGTGCAGGTTGCCTGAGATTCAAACCTGGACTTTGCTTCTACACCATGACAGTACAAATACTCTCATTGGCCAGTTTATTATGTAGACCAGGGTCAGCTCCTCCAAGCAATGAATAATGTTGCTGCTGCTGAACGTACACAGCAAACAGACAGGGTCAAGAAGATCACATTCTGTGCGGCTAAGCATTAGAATGGCTAGGATGTGTGATGTAATCCTTCTGAATGTGGTGTAATTGTTTGGTGCCAGATGTGGTGGATCCACCATCAACAGCCTCCTTCCTGGGATTTTCACACACTACACTATCTGTAGTTTACTGAGAATGGTGCAATAAACAATAAACAGAGTGATCGCAGTTCTGTGGGCGAAAACACCTTGTTAATGAAAGAACAGGGGAATGTCTAGACTTAGCAGGAAGGCCAGGGGTGAAAAGATAACAGCTCAGAACCACGGCTGATTCTGAAAAAGAACTCATTAAAGCGCTTCTGAAGGCGAAAGTGAGTCGTACTCTCTACTGGCAAGGTGTTCCTAACAAAATGGCCACTGAGTACACATGGACACACATGCACAGGCACAGAGAAGCTCTTGACCTCAATGGCAGCAACAGGGTAACAACAATGCAGAAGCACTTCCTTAATTAATTCTGGAGGTACACACATTGCTGCAGAGTACATATGATGGAAAACTACAGCAATGTTTTACAGCATACAGGAGCCACACAGGAACATTGATCTCATTATAGAAAAGTGTTGAAAGGTCTTTTGAGTAAATAAATGCTGTAATCTCAGGAACACTGCTCTCTATTTAGGTCACCAGGCACAGAACTGCATATAGAATTTTGGTGCACAGTGTGATTCACACTTGAACCTGCAGATATAGTCTACAGTAAGATTCACAAAGTCATACACAGAACAAGTCTACATTGAGGTTGAAACCTAAGAACCACCTCAATGCTTTTTGATCTTTGAGCCTAAAGTTTCTGTTATCATGTGTTTTCATCCAGTAGCCACTCATACACAGCAATGTAGTTAAGCAGCACAAGCCGTCAAGGATCCAACTTGGGTACAAGTTCTACTAGGCCAGCATTTCTCAAACCAGTCCTCAAGGACCCCTTGCTGGGAAGCAACTGGGAGGGAGCAAAAATGTTGACCGTCTGGGGGTCTCCCAGGACCAGTTTGAGAAACTCTGTACTAGGCTAAATATCAGTAACTAGTGCAACATAGTTTTGGAAAGAGTTATACAAAAAACATAGAACTTAATATCAGAAAAGCTATTCAGATAAATAACACAAAATGTCTAAGTGCAATATACAGCAGAGCATCCAGTAGAGCCAAATGAATCCATTTCAAGAGAAGAGTCGACAAGGACAGAAAGCCAGTGAGTCAGATAGTGGGGGTGATTGTGACTGTTTTATGAAACAGAGTAACGTGCTGTTTATCCAACATGTGCCCACATCCTGTGTCACAAGGAGAAGTACTCAGATCCAGGAATTATATTTCTTTGACCATAACATATAACCAACTTCCTAATGTTCTGTACAACAAGATAATGTTCAACTATGCACATGGCAATCTTCTGTGATGACGTGCGGAATGCTGGTACTGATAATGACTATAGAAAATGACTAAATGAGTCCCAACGGATGTGAGAATTTGCATTACACATGGACTGAAGTAGAAATTCAGCACAAGGGGAAAAAAACTTTACTTTCTGCTGTGGATCAAATGCATGCATGCGTTGAACCAAAGATTCCAAAAAAAAAAAAAAAAAAAAACATGTCAATAAAATTTTAAAGACTCTTCACAGGAACTACAACTGGTCGATGGCAAAAAGTCTACTG